GTGTAATACTTTGTGTGGGTGTGTACACATATATAGCCACGTTCTGTCCACTTCAATGTTACACGTCACTTTAAGAAACATTACGTAGTTTACTGATGATTGGGATCATATAAATATGTTAGTATTGAGCATGAGACTTCAATAAATGTTCTACTTCAAGCTGACCCTGCCCTATGACTCTGCCGATGATGGGAATATTATTGGGATCCATATAATTGTTAATGGATATTTTTTTAACAAGTACTTGAGCACCAGAAGAAACAGATTTCGAACCCTTTTAGAACATAATTATATTTTACTGTGTATTATATTTTGCATATTTATAGAAATTCCTGCACAAGTTTTCTACGGTTGTGCCGCACGATCCTCCGATGTGTTTATCGGGTCGTACAGCGTGTTCTGTGGCACGACGTTTGACGTTTCGCTCCACGTGCCAAGGGCTTCTACCGAATGGTCTCCCAGCTTCAGGAGAAGCTCCCAGCACGTGGAGCGAAACGTCGGACGACGGCCACAAAAGCGCATCGGAGAACCCTCAAGTACGTATGTTGAACTTCTTTCGAGACCGTACATAGAACATTTTTCATTTTTCCATTTAAAGCTTTCGTGACTGCAGGGATTCATATTCTTGGTTCTTTCGGTTAAGTCAGGTAGAAGGGAAATAATAAAATAAGAAAAATAAAACCATAAAATTCTCACGACGTTTCGGCCACAATGCAAGCAGCCGTCCTCAGGTGAAGAACAGAGCTGTCGGAAAGACAGCGTCCTAATGAACACTGCTAAACTTGAAAATTTTTCAACCAAATATGCCAAATAATTTTAACTACTCTATTTTGACATTCCTGTTTAGTGTTTTTTTGTGTTATTGCGGAGATAAGAATAATGGCTACTCTGCCATCATGCATGCTGTCAACAAACCCTGCATAAATGGACTCGTGAAAAGAATCTGTCCAGAGTGAGATTTCGGACGGCGAACGCAACTATATATACATTTATCCCGTCACGGCCGTGATGTATACCAGGTTTAGAGCCTGGCCACGTAAAAATGTCATTGCCACGGACAGATTGTCAACAGGTCTATTGCATTCCACCCACAAGACACCCCCTTTCTGTGATAGTTAAACTACGCTCTGATGCTTACCAGAACCAACTTTTTTTGTAAATTGTTATGCTTTCGCCTGCGAGCCGACAATAATCCACTACAATTTCGGGATTCATGTAATGTGGAAACGCGACCGCCATCCTAAGACGTGCGGAGAGATTTCCGCTGCTCGGGTCAGAGGCGGAGGGGACAATTGAAGTTGTCGAGCCAGCACCTGGGCAAGGGGAGTCGACAGCCCCGATGGCTGGGCGACGGGGACTTCCAGAAGAAGCACGGGAGGCAGGGGAGAGTGAGCGACCTTCCACTGGGCAGCGGTTGAGCGGAGGCTGCGCATGAAAGCGTCGGTTGCATGGGGCGGAGAGCGTGCGGAGGATGGTAGAGAGAGGGGAGAGGTAGGAGAGTGCGTGGAGGGGAGTAGAGTGAGATGAGAGGGGAGAGGTAGGAGAGTGCGTGGAGGGGAGTAGAGTGAGATGAGAGGAGAGAGGTGGGAGAGTGCGTGGAGGGGAGTAGAGTGAGATGAGAGGTAGGAGAGTGATTGGAGGGGAGTAGAGTGAGATGAGAGGGGAGAGGTAGGAGAGTGTGTGGAGGGGAGTAGAGTGAGATGAGAGGGGAGAGGTAGGAGAGTGCGTGGAGGTGGGTAGAGTGAGATGAGAGGAGAGAGGTAGGCAGGAGTGAGTCCATGGCGGATCTTACAGACCGTGAGTGTGATCTTGAAATCGATCCGGGATGTAATAACACAAGTGCGAGTTTAAAAGCAACCAGCGATGTGTGCGATGACTGCCTTCGTTCCGTGTTGTGTGTTCTCTATAACTTAGATTTCCTATGACTGTGCATGTGCAGGGTGGGTGTTCGACATCATCGTCAGCCGTACGAAGAAGAAGACTATGAATGTTTGAAAAGTAATTTGACGAAGCCCACTTGAGTTACAGCAATTTTTTTTAGATATATTTGAGATATATGTTTATATTTGTGCTGCCGTTGTCATGTCGCCTGTAATGTGGTCATTCTGCTCCGAGTTTTTCATAGTTTCCTTGCTATATTTTTTTGGGGGGGGGGGGGGGGGGTTTGTGTATCTTTGGTGACCCAGGTCAAGGTTGCAAGTGAGACTCATCCTGCGGTAATATTTGTGTTGTAAAAAGAAAAAGGTCAAAGTGATGTCCTGCAAAAATGAGCATTGAGTTGCTACCCGTCTGTGTACGACCCTGAGCCAGTGGTGGAAATTACACAGTCCTATGACAGGGGCACGAGTCTATCCATGGGAGCAACCACTTTTGACTTCTTCACAAAGCGATGTTATTTTATTGACCACGGATGGGGGGGGGGTGGGGGTGATGATTGGCTGAATCAACCCCCAACCAGGATTTTTAACTCGCAACCGTCCTACCGTCTTCACCTGGTTAACTCAAGTCGACGAAACTAAACGTCGCGTGGTCCGCACATGAGCCCTCTTCGTGAATTTGAGAGCGTCACGGAGCGCCGCTTAATCGGCGTCACGGCTGCTCGGTCGACGCACTTTTTGTAGATGTTGTAATCGGATCCCCGTTTCGTTTACGACGACGCCGTCGCTCATTGGGAGTCTGCCATTGCCGGCGCATCGGACGGAACGACGTAAACCAATAACGTGGCGAGCGGCGGTGCCAGGCAGCATCCAGCAATTTATTGCCGGATAATTGGACCTGGCAAAAACGAAACGAAAACTTTCGTTGGCCCGGAGACGAAACCGCGTCCCGAGTTCGGCCTCCCCGTATCAATTTCCAGCCCCCCCCCCCCCAACCCCCCCCCCCCCCCCCCCCCCCCGGTCACTCGACTCCCACAACGACTAAGCATCGTTCACTAAGCGAGGCATTCCGTCGTAAGCGATGGAGAAAAGTGAACACCGTGGACTTGAATAGGGGCAGTGTATTAGCAGTGTGGAATACAGATAAGAAATACACTTATCTGTATACGATCTCTAAATGATTCGGAAGGGACGTTCAAAACTAAACCTTTTTTCTTTTTACCGGCTAAGGCCCCCTGAGCTATGTAGCTCTTTGTCAGAAGCGACCTGGACACAAATAACAGCTCAACGAAGGCGGCTCATCATGATCACGTGGGAATTGAGAACAACCAAATAGTCTTTGGGTCTTTCGGTCAAGTCACGTAAATAGAAAAATAATAAAATAAAATAAACTACGACATTTCGATCACAACACAAGCGGTTGTCATCAGGAGGTGACGAAAGCTTGTGTTGTGATCGAAACGTCGTAGTTTTTGGTTTATTTTATTTTTATTAATTTGAACCTATCCACGTGACTTTACCGAAAGATCCGAAGAATATGAATTGCTGCAGTCACGAAAGCTTTAAGTCAACAACTAAATACTCTGAACGCATATTGATTCTTAATGTGGAGAGGAAAAACCAGAGGACCCGGAACAAACATTTAACGCGACAACGATGAGAGAGACACGCAAACTCCAAATATACAGCAGCAGGCGTCAGGGTCGGAATCAAACGAAACGACCTCCTGTATACCGAGCGAGGTAGTTAACATCTCGCCACCGCGGCGATGTCCCGCCCTTTACTCCACGTGCCATGCCCGGAGCTTCTTCGAGATTCAGTTTGCTGAAGAAGCTCCCCCCAGAAACCTGGAGCGAAACGTCGGACACGACGCCGAGCAAACACGCCGCTAGAGCACCGACAAAAAAAACAAACGTCGCAAGAGCTTTAGGGCACGATCGCGAAAAGCCTTGGGCGAGTGCCGCAAACTCTCAGCCTGGACGGCAGTCAAACCCGAAGACACCGTCTCTGCAATGTGCGTTACTAATGCACGGCGCCCCACATCTTTAACATTAATCACGGGGTAAAAAAATATATATACAACTTCTGCTTTTGCATTTGCGCGTTTGTCGTAGTCGTTGTTAAACTTTGACAGCAACATCACGGTACACGTTCCTGGGGAGACGTCTGAGCTAAGAGTTGGAGAACGGGGGGGGGGGGGGGGCGTGGGGGGGGGCTGTGGGTGGCAGGGGGGGCTGCGGAGCGTGGTGGGAAAAGGTTGAGGTTTCAGGAAATGAGTCAAGATTCCCGTCCGTGCGCTCCAAGACATCTGTCGCGGTGCACAATAGAAACTGGGAAAGGGCCCTGCACCCCGACTGGTTGGGACTGGAGCCAAAAGGGAGCGCGCTCCTTCCCCTCCTCGCCTTTCCCTCCGGGAAGAAAAAAAAAGTCACGGTGTATACATCGACGCAAAGGTCGCCGAAAAGTCAATACACGATATTTAAATATATATTTTACAACAAAAAAACTCGAAACAATAACAATCAGAAACGGTAACGTTGCCTTGGTGAAAAGACGTTTCCCGTTGCGAACAACAATAACAGCATGTGCATAAACGATGTAGGCGCGGAATAACCACCTCCCAGAAAGAGTACTTTTCAATGCGCTACAATCAACGGTTGTGTAAGTGGAAGGTTAGGAGGCATTTTTTTACAGTTATTAGCCCACTTTTGTTTTGTACGTGTTATACAGAACACGCCGACAAAACCACACGTGTGTTGGGGGAGGGGGGGGCGAGAGAGGGGGAGGGAGGGGTTCATCGTGGGGGAGGCCTTCATCCAGCAGGGAGGCCTTCATCCAGCAGTGGATTGACAAATTACAGAGTGTGGACGTGGGTGCACGTAAAGTGCGCCCTGTGGTACACACGGGACAATCAATTTCCGCTTTCACGAGCCCGCGATTGTGACAATTCAGGGTCACAATTTCATTCGCGTTTTGGCACATGGCACGTAACACGTGGCGGAAACCCACACAAACAAAATTCACACCATAGCACCCATGGCCCTTTGCTCTTCTACAGAAAGAAGATAAGAACGCCGGCATCATCAAGACAAAAAAAAACAACAACATAAATTTCAAGAGTACCGTTGATATTGGGGGGCTTTTTTCTCTCCCCCCCCCCCTCCCTTGTGGAAGTCCACGCGACGGGATGAGCTCCGTGGGCCACTCAGCTCAGCCGCGGAAGGTGACAGCACACGGGAACGGGGTGTCCACGGGCCGACCACAGGTGCTCCGGCCCAGCCACCTGTGGACGGGATGCCGAGGCTCAAATGTCCCCCCTTGGAACCTCCGAACCGCGACGCTACCTCTGCCGCCGCCGCCGCCGCCGCCGCTGCTGCTGCTGCAGAGGCGATCGTCAAGAAGCATGCTCCGGAAAATGCAGAGGGCGAGCCAGAGGGAAGGGCGGGTAGCCCCGGTCGCTTTTTGAGCACGGGCTGGGAAAAGAGCAAACTCTCTTGCTCGACGAGTTGGGGAGGAGGGGCCGAGCCGGGGGACGTGGCCAATGCGTGGCCCCGTTGCCTCTCTCTCTTCTCGGTCGTGTCCAATTGGGCAATCGAAATCCACTTGTGCAGCACCGGTTCAGATGTTGTTTATTGGTTATTTTTTGAGTATGTGGTTTTGGGTGGTTGCGGGGGGGTTGTGTGCGTGTGGGGGAGGGGAGAGCGGTGGCGCTGCGGTTAGCGCCCGCTCGATTCCTGATCACGGTGAACGTTTGCGAGGCGATAGCCGAAGCAGGTCCTTGGGCTTCCCTGCTTCGCCGATACGCACTGACCGGCGTGGTGAAGTATGGTCGAACAAACTCCAACAAAACCGACACGGCGTGGGGAGGTTTTCATCCACGAGTGGATGGACAAAGGCGTGTAAATATATCTATCTTTTTTAAGGGAAGAGCAATCTCATGAGCACCACGGATCAGCACGGTTGGCTACGTACGGTGCGAAAGAAGTTCAACATACGCGCATGCATAAAGGTGTCTCGGTGCTTCGGGAAGATGCAAGAAACGTGGGTCCCTGTTTCTCAGTGTCAACTTTACGCGACATTTATTTTGAATGCCATTGTGGCTGGACTGCTCAACATCTCACATTCTGAAGCCACGTCAAACGGCTTCCTACTCAAGAAGTGGAGTGATGAGATCGGCGCACGTGCAGGAGGCAGATGGATCGTTGTTACATCGCGTGACCCGCAGTGGATAGAGCAAGGCGTATGATGATGATGACGACATATGTTAAATGAAATATCCTTTATGAACTGGCGGTGTACACTAATGAATACATTACTCATTTAATTGACTCATTAATTCATTCATCCTTTATGCGTTTGAGTGTGGTGCGATGTTCATTGCATTCCGTGTAAGTTAAAGATCATAAAATGCTTATATATACGTGTCATTAAGTCAGGTGCGTATGTGTCACTTGATGCCATGAACACTCGTGACAAACGAGATTTTCAATCTGAAGGGATTAGTTATCCAGGTGAAATGTGCTATCTTATTTAAAATATATATTTTAAATATATATTACTCACGAATGTCAGTGGCGTATGTGGTGACGCCGCTGCATTGTCAGTGGTGAACAAGTACACACGTGTACGTATATATGTTGTTGAGCTTCTTTCGCACCGTACGTAGCCAACCGTGCTAATCGGAGGTGCGGGGAATGGACATCAAACTAAACGCAAAAAAAACAGTTCCGAAGAAAAAAAAATGTCAATCTAGATTATTTAAAAGTGCATAGCTCCAGTGGCTTCCTAATATCGAAAGGAAGAGCGTTCCAGACGGCCGCAGAAGCGCATCTGAAAGCGCCGCGCGATGTGGTGACCGCTGTCTGTGTTCGATTGCCAGCCACAAGCCGCTGCTACTGCGAGGATGGTGGCCGGTGTTCGCGTGATAACACCGTGTAACATTTGTTTTGTTCCTGTTGATGATTTATTCTCCCTTGACGAGGAACACAACAATAACAACAAACAAAACTCAACACATTCGTTAATTGTTAGCCCGTCTCTGTGCTGGCCATGTGCACGCGGAAACCCTGCAAGTCAGTCCGAACGTTCAGGACTCTGGACGGATAGAGGCAGGACGCAATCATAGCCACCTCTAGTGTTAAACTAAACGTTTTTTAATTGTGTAAGGCCCACTGAGCCATGTAGCTATTTTTTTAGTGGCGATCTGGCTATCACAAATGATAGCCCAACGAAGTGGCTTATCACGTGGAAATGTATTACAGCCAAATACTCTGCACGGATTTCAACTCGAAATGTGGAGGGTGAAAAAAAAGCGGAGGACCCAGAGAAAAATCCACGCGACCACGGGAAGAGGCAGACACGCAGACTCCAAATATACATCAGGCGTCAGTGTCGCGATCGGACCCACGACCTCCTGTATACCAGGCGAGATAGTTAACATCTCTACACCTCTAACATATTCCATGCTACGGGGGTAGGGGGAATCTCTCCTCCCGGCTCGAATTACCTAAATGAGCCTTAACAGGGGCCCGCCGCTGTGAAAATATCGAGTTCGAAGTTGTGCTTTCTTAAACAAGCAATGACATCATGCTCCCCTCCTAGAACACGGCCCGACTTAGCGCAGATATAGCCCGGCCAAGCACAACAGAGTTCCACCCAGCTCCCAGCCCCCCACTCCCCCCCCCCCAACGAAACTCCGCGTACAACACAACGGGGGGGGGGGGTGGTGAAAGGGCGTCTCTTGCAATGCTCGCAAAGTACCCAGGTGACGGTTGAAGTTTACGGCTATGAGTTAGCAACAACAAAAAATACGAACAAAAAATGTTGGCATCGCCGTCCGCCGGGAGGTAACCGCACGGATGGCTCGGAGGGTCAGAGCGCTGAGCCGGCACCGATGAGATCCTTGGGTTCGAATCGCGCGCAGGCGGGCTGATTGATGGTCTCAGCCTGGTTGCCAATGACCGCACACAAAATGCAAAGATCCCCCGTGTAGCCTTAAGAGACCGTTGGGGCAAGTGGTGTTAGCGAGTAGCACCTAGGAAGGCCGGAACGGAACACCAGCGGGTTGGCTGGCCAAACACCACGCCCGACCGCCTTTGTCTCCCTCGTGGCGATGTTAACACACCCGCATCAGGTACCCATTTGAGGCTGAGTCGACCTAGGGGAGGCCCAGGACTGGTTCATGATAATCGTCACTGGTGTTCACCGTGAGCGCGAATTGAACTCGGGTGGCCGGGTTTGATGTCAAGCGCTAACTGCTGCATTACCGCTGCACTTCCGCTCCCCACAATGACTGCACGCACAAAAAAAAACATCAAATTAAGTGTGTTTCTGTTGCGTAGCTTGGCTAAATTCCATCTCCGAGATGGAAGGTTCTGCTCTTGCACTGCGTGGATCTAGAGATGACTTGAAGGATTCTCGGAGGTGGCTCTGTGACATTCACTTCCACGTGTCGCTCGCTCACACGAAGTTCTCTGTGCTTGCTCCGCGAGAGTTTCCAAGCGGATACTTACGTCACCTGACAACGTGGTGCCGATAGCGCAATCGCAAGGAAACTTTTTAAAACGACGCGAGACATCTTAGAACGACACGAGACATTTTAAAATGACACGAGATATTTTAAAACGACATGAAACATTTTAAAACGACATGAAACATTTCAAATCGACACAATACATTTTAGAACTACACGAAACATTTAAAAACGACACGAGACATTTTAGAACGACATGAAACATTTTCAAACGACATGAAACATTTAAAAACTATACGAAACATTTTAGAACGACACGAAACATTTAGAAACTATATGAAACATTTTAGAACGACACGAGACATTTTTAAACGACACAAGACATTTTAGAACAACACGAGACATTTTAAAATGACACGAGATATTTTAAAACGACATGAAACGACAGGAGACATTTTAAATCGACACGAAACATTTTAAATCGACACGAAACATTTCAAGACGACACGAGACACGTTGAGCAGCGCGGGCATGACACCAATTTGAACCGCGTTCGTCTGTTCCCAAGAGTCGGCAACCAAAAGTAACGAGAAGCTGCATTTTTGTTCGCCCAATGCACGTGATAAATACGAGACCGCTGAGTCCTTAATAAATAACCGTCACGAAGCACGGTCCTCAGGTTAGCCGACCCTTCTTCTATTCTCACCCCACACTCGAGGTGGCAGTCGCAGTTGTGCGTCGTGTCAAGGTGTTTAATGAAACTAAACTATGATATTTATTTTACCAGGTAAGGCCCACCGAGCTATATACAGTGAGGGAAAAAAGTATTTGATCCCCTGCTGATTTTGTACGTTTGCCCACTGACAAAGAAATGATCAGTCTTTAATTTTAATGGTAGGTTTATTTGAACAGTGAGAGACAGATTAACAACAAAAAAATTTGGAAAAACGCATGTCAAAAATGTTATAAATTGATTTGCATTTTAATGAGGGAAATAAGTATTTGACCCCTCTGCAAAACATGACTTAGTACTTGGTGGCAAAACCCTTGTTGGCAATCACAGAGGTCAGACGTTTCTTGTAGTTGGCCACCAGGTTTGCACACATCTCAGGAGAGATTTTGTCCCACTCCTCTTTGCAGATCTTCTCCAAGTCATTAAGGTTTCGAGGCTGACGTTTGGCAACTCGAACCTTCAGCTCCCTCCACATATTTTCTATGGGATTAAGGTCTGGAGACTGGCTAGGCCACTCCAGGACCTTAATGTGCTTCTTCTTGAGCCACTCCTTTGTTGCCTTGGCCGTATGTTTTGGGTCATTGTCATGCTGGAATACCCATCCACGACCCATTTTCAATGCCCTGGCTGAGGGAAGGAGGTTCTCACCCAAGATTTGACGGTACATGGCCCCGTCCATCGTCCCTTTGATGCGGTGAAGTTGTCCTGTCCCCTTAGCAGAAAAACACCCCCAAAGCATAATGTTTCCACCTCCATGTTTGACGGTGGGGATGGTGTTCTTGGGGTCATAGGCAGCATTCCTCCTCCTCCAAACACGGCGAGTTGAGTTGATGCCAAAGAGCTCCATTTTGGTCTCATCTGACCACAACACTTTCACCCAGTTGTCCTCTGAATCATTCAGATGTTCAATGGCAAACTTCAGACGGGCATGTATATGTGCTTTCTTGAGCAGGGGGACCTTGTGGGCGCTGCAGGATTTCAGTCCTTCACGGCGTAGTGTGCTACCAATTGTTTTCTTGGTGACTATGGTCCCAGCTGCCTTGAGATAATTGACAAGATCCTCCCGTGTAGTTCTGGGCTGATTCCTCACCGTTCTCATGATCATTGCAACTCCACGAAGTGAGATTTAGCATGGAGCCCCAGGCCGAGGGAGATTGACAGTTCTTTTGTGTATCTTCCATTTGCGAATAATCGCACCAACTGTTGTCACCTTCTCACCAAGCTGCTTGGCAATGGTCTTGTAGCCCATTCCAG